GATCTATTTTCTATGCCACTAAAACATCAAAAGATCTTGAGGCAGTTATGAACTCAGAACTTCAGAAAGTAATTAACTACTGTAACCTCAATAAACTGTCTATTAACATGAAGAAAACAAATTTTATGATCTTAACATCTCCACAGAAGCCAACTATACACAATATTAATATTTCAAACATTGATTGCAAAGCTAGTATGAAATATTTAGGCATTTATTTAGATGAGCATTTGAACTGGAAAACTCAAAGAGCCCAGTACAAAGCAAACTGACTAAAAACCTTGCAATCTTCTACCAACTACGGAATTGCCTAAATTTAAAGATGCTAAGACAACTGTATTATGCACTTATTTACCTTCATCTTAATTTTGATGCAATGTGTTGGGGCAACACTTATATGACTAATTTAAATAAGATCAGTAGTAAACAAAATAAATGCATCCAAAGTATCTTTTCCGCAAACAAACAGGACCCTCTTTCCCTTACTACCAAATCCTTGAAATTTGAAAATTTGAAATGTTGTTATATTCATTCGCATTTAAATTATATTACAATCCATCAACTGTTCCAGCAATTTTCCATAATTTTTTAATACCTATCACAGCTGTCCCCTCCTATAACAGCAGAAAATCCGCCAAGCTTAATTTCCACTGACCACAAGTCAGAGAACTAACATAGGCAAATTTACTTTTAAGTACTCTACTTCTGTTATTCGGGAAACTGTACCCTTGGCATTGAAAACAAAAAGAACATTTAACAGGTTTAAGAAACTTTATATGGTCCACCTCATCTCTCATTAATCAAATAATATATGATCTGTTTAGTTATCAAATATATAGCATGTAGCTATCCATAGGTAATTAACTATGATAATAACAGAGTTAATAATAATAATAATAATAATAATAATAATAATACTAATAATTGTCTACTTCTATTTCAGTCTTTGTTGCCACTGCTGCTGCTGTTGTTGCCGATGACGTTTTGTTCTTTTCCTCTCCTTTGTCTCTGTTTCTGCTTTCGTTCATTGTTGTTGCTGTTGTTTGTTTGTTTGTATGTGTGTCTGTTTTCCTCTTATTAAGCTTGTCCTGTATAGATTTCTTGCTTGGTTCAGTATATCTCTAACATACCTTAAATTATATACACGTAATTCTCTCTTGCACATCAATCCTAGGCTCTACAAACACCTTCCACATTTTTTACAAAATACCAATAAAGCTCTGTGCCATTTCTTTGTTTATCTAAAAGTTGGTGGTGGCCAACTAGAAAGCC